GCCGCGGCGGAACGATGAAATTTGTTCGTGGAACGCGATCGAAGCTTCGAATAAACTTTAGTCGGGAATGAAATTAAAAGAAAAAAAGGAAACCGAGGAATTCCATTGGACCGCGGCACTCGTTTCACTCCGGCGGTATTACAGGGACGAGGGAAATATTTATACCCGCGTTGTTGCGAGTCCCGATTAAGTGAAACCGCGGCTTTCAATATTAATGTCGCGCGGCAGAATTAATTAGTGCCCCGATTGTACGCCGCATATTAATGGGGGACGAGGGTGGACTTTTTCCAAAGCGCCGGCCGAAGTAGATTCCCGCCGACTGAACGTTAATGAAAGTTCTCGCGGATTTCAGGCTAATTAGCGCGGCTTATATAGATTCTCGCGTTTAATGGACACCCGCCCTTTCAATCGGCTTGGCGGAAGCTTGCCCGCTAAGTGCGAGCGTTATCGCCATGATTCTATAGATACTCCTGAATAATATTGCTCGTCATTATTATGCGATAATTGTTGTCGAATGCTGATTCCTGGAGACTCGATTTCTTAAGCTGTTCAGATTACCAGTTGAGTACAATATTACGATTTCTTCTTTAGAAGCTGCTCTTATAGTTTTGTTGCCAAGTTTTCAGGTTTACAAGTTTCCAAGTTTTTAAATTTTGAAACTATCAGGTGTTCGATCTTTCAAACTTTCAAGCTTTCAAGCTTTCAAACTTTCAAACATTCGAACTATCAAACCTTCAAATTTTCAAACTTGCAAACCTTGAATCTATCAAAGTTTCAAATTTGCAAACCTTCGAACTATCAAACTATCAAACTATCAAACTTGCAAACTCTCAAAAATCGAAAGTAACTTCTGCCTAATTCCCTAAGCAAAAGTTGCAGCAGAATCAACTACATTATCGCATAATGTAACGTCAATCTTGAAACGTTGCCCATGACAATGTCCGAAGTAACGCGGTGTGTTTCGTCCGCGGAAGCGGGAACCAGCAGTCTCGCGCGAAGTGCTGGTGCGGTCGCGACGCCAACGTGAACCGCAATCGAAATTATCCGTGCAGTGCAATTCGGTGTTGTCCAATGGGCCGACACCCCGACCGCGCCGTCCACACCGCGAATTTTTCGCCGGCGGCGTTCGGTGCGCTCTTCGCGAACAGCGCGACACACGGTGTTCATTTAATGCCGACATAGTTCCTCACAGTTCGTTCGCCATTTCCATCGCCGCACTCCGGTTGATTCGATTTATGCTGCAGATGGACACCCCTAGAAAAGAGACAATCTCATTAGCGAACATCAGAGAACGGTAACTTCGAACATTTAACGGTGCGTTTACATTAGCTTTGAAAGTGAGTCGATCTCGACATTCTTCTACTCTTTTTCAAACAGGGCAATTATTCTTGATCATTGAATTATCATGTACAAGCATCAAATTAAAACTGTTTCCACTCTACGAAATTTCTCAAGGATTCATTTGCCAGCTTTTAACCCTTTGAACTCTGTAGGTTCCAATATTGCACCAGTTATAATATTAAATATTTCAATGAATCAAAGTAACTACCCTAAAATTATTCGATTTTCCACGCATCGAAATTTCGTACTAACGAGGAAAATAACAGATCGAAGAAATGTTGTAGCATTTCTCATTTTCGCTAGGAATACTATAAAAATTAGTTACAGTTGCTGATAGATTACAAAACAGTCTGGAGTTCTAAGGGCTAATATTCACACCTCTACTTAGAGAAAAGGAACCAAGTTATAAATGTAAATGACGGTACTTCGAGATTCTATGGTCAACATAATCTCTTCTTCTCAATGATGAAGGTAAACGCAAGATGAAAGAAGTAGACACTGTAGAACTAATGAGTTGGTCGGATTAATCACTGAAACAATTTATTGCACCGACAATACTGATTATATCATCGAATCCTGGATCGGATCATCGTATCCCGATGCCACCGGACCAACGTAAATCCAGCTTAATCCCCGTATAACAGTGACACCCTGTTAATTACCCGCGTTTAATAACCCGACTGGAAATTAGCAAGGCATTAAAACCGATCTTCCGAAACCCGGCGCGAATTTTCACGGTGTACATCCAGCCGCGTCCCGTTCCCCTCCGTTTTCGAACTGGTTAATTAGGAAAGTTCCGCGGAGTAAGTGGCCATCGGTAGTCGAGGGCCTAATTAAATGATCATTGAGTTCGAAAGTACAATCTCCGTCGCGATTGGGAATCAATATTGTTTGGAAGTAATTTCGAGTGTTCTGTCCGAGGACCGAAGGATCTCTGACAACTTTTTCACCAATATAGTTCCGTGTTTCGAGTATTCTCGTCTGCATCTCATTTTTTCGTCGTGTCGCTGTGACATTTTAATCGAACCTAACGTATTACTAACCAGGCTCCTTAATTAATGAGAAAGAACCGTCTATCCTGGGTATTAACATAATAAAATCACGTCCTCCGTATACACGTAATAATAACAAAGTTATAATATATAGAGCAAATCGTAAAATATATTTTTAAGTTATTCGTCTACCAGAGATTCTATTTATTCGATTATAAAACACTCGATTCACCTGGGAAATCCAAACTCTGGACAGAAATTAACTCCGCGTCGATGCTGCTGAAGCAAGGATTCTCCATGATGTCCTGGTAGCCTTCGATGATCGTGTAGATCAACGCTGGCACGGTCATCGCGTACACCAGGGTCCATAATAATCTAAAACAAAAGTGACAATCTCGATAGGTCTACTTTAACAAGGGAAACTGGCAATTTTTCCTAACAAACTCCCGTTCGGTTTCAATGATTTCACGTGAATTGGATGAAATCAATTGAAATTTACCATACAGTCTAGTGAAACGTTCACAATAAACGATCCACAGGTTACGTTGTATAGTGAGAAAAGTTTAGTTGAAGCTCGTTGCACGCAACAGATTAAAATTCTGTGTTTTAACGCCGTTTCGAACGTCAAGAAGATTACCTGTCGAACCACGACGAGTCCTCCTCGACGAAGTACCTGAATCCGGCCAGTTTCGTGTACCTGCAGTACAGTTTCATGTATTTTACCAGCATGTTGCATAAATGCGACCTCTTCTCTCTTTTCCGCGGCTCGACTGACACCCGGCTGCGATAGGCCGGTTTCCTTTTGTATTCCTCGTCTCCATTGTAAATTCGCATTTCATCGTCTCCTGCGTCCTCGTCACTGCCCTGCGTTCACTGGCTGTTGATAAAGATTGATCGACGCGGTGCAATTGCATGTAGAAGGCGAATAAATCAAATTTGGAGAATTATATTTTAATGTGTCGATGCTGTTCGAATCTTATAGACGCAAGATGGGATTAAAAATTAAGGAGTAATCGATTTAAGAAACTATTAAATAAGCATTTCGAAAATTGGAGAATAATCAATTTAGAAATCTATAAAATAAACGTCTCGGCAACTAAAAGATAATCAATTTAAGAAATTAGAAAATAACCATCTCGAAATCTAGAAAATAATGAATTTAAGAAATTAGAAAATAACTATCTCGATAACTAGAAGATAATCAGTTTAAGAAATTAGGAAATAACCATCTCGACAACTGGAAGATAATGAATTTCAGAAATTAGAAAATAACCTTCTCAAAATCTAGAAGATAATCAATTTGCAAACTGAATTGAATGAACACTATTCCTCTGTTTTCATCTCTAACGAAGTACCATTCTTCTAATACCAATATTTCACCTCCAGATTAAATATAAACAATCAAATAACTCTGACGAGCCCAACAGCGCCAGCAAACTCGCCCGCACCGGCAACAACCCGCAAAATTAATACTCACCCTTCGAGAGCCGTGCGGAATATAAAACCTCAGCGGTGCCGGAAAAAACAAGCGCCGCGGTACACGGTTCCTATCGAATTCCGCTAAAAATTTAATCAAAACCCGCACGAAAGATCGGCCCGCCGATTTGTTTTCGCGCGCGGTCGCCGCGGAATCGTATCCCGATAAAAGAGGGAACGGGGGACAAGTTAAAACGCGATCGTCTATAATCCGCTTCGGGAGAGCCAGCCGTCTGTCCTTTCCCCGACCGTAGAATTAATTTAAACCCTACAGGACGAGACAGAATTTTTTCGACGAAACGTTCTCTTCTCGGAGCGCAGTGGAAATAAAAGGAAACAGTGGAAGCGGATGACTCGATTTCTGAAACATACTACGCTCCTTGATTTATCGACAGATTTCAAGTATCGTTGAAACAGTAGAGGCACGTGTTCTAATTATTTTCACATGGTGTTTGAAATTTAACCCTTCGCGAACGAGGATTCGTTAAAGTATTCAAAATTTTCAACGGACGAAGTTAACTTATTGAATGTCTGAGTAATAGACAAGAAACGATGTACTGGTCTATTAGTATTCGAGTAATTAAATCATTTATAGATCACGCGACATTGCTCCTTAACACTAGAACTACCGAGCATTTAATACAATTAATATGCAATTCCTATAAAAATTGTAACAGTAGATTATTTTCAATTTCTTCAGGCATTCATTATAGTACTCAAGTGGAACTGTTTATTTTCAAAATCATTTCGAATATTCAATGCTTCGAAAATATCAATAATTGCTAAACAAAAAAGTGTTAAAGAATTATAGTGTTCTTGGCAAGATGAGAGCGCGATGGAATCGAGAGAAGGTAAACAAACGAAATGATTGGAAAAAGTGAGAACTCGATTGGATCGAAGAGGACTTGAAGATCGTAGCGAATTAATCTTAAGTTTAGAAACTTCAAGATGAATAGAAAAATTTCTCGTAAAGGACAGTCGATGATACGCGAGATGCGAGTACGAAGGAAGATAATGACACGAGACAATGATAAAATAATAGAAGCTCGAGGTACCAGCGGAGCCAACGAATGAAAAGAAAATTCAAACAGTGAAGAATTTGTTGGAAATGTCTCCCGAGGCCGCTGCGCGAGTCGCGACTATCAGCTTTCGGTGGATCCGCGATGACTGCGGCGTGTCTCTCTACAATGTTTATATTCAGCCTCATAAAAATCGATCGTCGCGCAGCCAGACTGCGTTCCTGATGTCCGAGAAATGAGCGCCTCGTATCTGCGACATCTTTTCCCCATCGATGTCTATCGCCTCATCTACAACGAGGCTCTTTCGAGAATGATTTTCCGGTTGGTCATGAAAGTATACGTTCGCCGATGTTCGCGGCACGTGTTTGTTCTCGGGTAGATGTGATCTTTCGAGTACGATCTACGATACTGTACTCGATGGAATAAGGTTGCAATGAACTCATCGTGGAGCGGTTTCATCGACAAGGATCAATAGAGGCCTGCACGAGCGGCTGTTTCGATGATAACATTGACTTATGAACTTTTGTGGACACTGTGTTGGTTTGTGTATTGCTTTGCGATGGCTTGCAGAGTAGTGTATGGCGATTGGTCGCTTGATGGATTTTCAATGCTTGGAATGTGTGTTGAGGATAAAATGTTGAGTAAAGGAATTATAGTTCTCTGAATTAGAGGCTTTTTATCTGAAGATCTGTTATATTCGTCTGTTAAAATCCAATTCAGATTTACCAATGTCTCGGTTGGTGAGACGAAAGTTCGAAGATCAATACAGTCGATCAACGATCAGTTACTAAAAGCATCATTGATCCTAATTTCACACTAGATTTACGTGTATTCTATACTTCATTCCATTGTTCCTAGAAAGCTACGTGTTCGTCTATATAAATCGCTAGAATTATAACTTCAGAGTATCGCAATGCGTATTCCCGTAACTCACGAATGAAAATCGACTCTGTTACTAAATAATGAACCAATGCTTCAACGCATTATCAACGTTTCCTTCGTCTTCCCTCCATTTCAATACACGTTTAAACCTTCCAGGAAAAACAGTCGCAACGCAGCTCCAACTTTCACGAAGCGAACGAGTAATAATGCAAATCCCATTTGAACCTTTCAGCGTAGCTCGGTCTCGCGAATTCGCATAAAAATTTTAGCTAACACGCAGATCCCATCGTTCAGCCTGTTTCCCGGTGTCTATCGGTCGGGCAACTCGTCACGATACCGGTGAACGTCGACGCGAAATCGCCAAATCTTCGCTGATCTAGGTCCTGCGTCGCAGGGAATCCGATCGCGCGCGTGGATCGCCATCTTTTGCATGTTACAATGCGGTAATACAATATTCACGAGCGGCAACATAAATATTTATCGCGACGGTGAGCAACATTCTCGTTTCCATTTTCATCGGTGACCTCTTCCGCGGTGCTCCTTCAACACTGCGCCGTTTAGACGGTTCCTCGTTTTAAAAAAATTATATATTTACCTTTTGTGCCGGGACGTTCTGCTAGATAAATCTTCCAGCAGCTCGGACCTCTTTCAGCGGAAAGTTTTACCGCATAAAGCCCGTGCACCTGAGAGTCCTGGCCGGGCCGCCTCGGATGTAAAAGGTTGAAGGTTGCTCGCGGTGGACTGCGCGGGAATAAAAATCTTGGAATAATTTTTATTCGTTCCGGCTGAAGTGGATGATGAAATTAAGACGTCGCCGTTTCTGGACTGACGTCTCGCCCGCGTTTAAACAGCAATGAATGTCGCGTTACGGTATAATGTACTTTTAATATTCTCCCCTTCGATGTCTCGTTCGTTCACTGCTGCTCTATCGTTAAACGATAGATCGCTCTGCGTTCGCAGCGCGCGATGAGTACCGGAGAATAATGGAGTATAAATTTAGTTAAACTACAAATTGTTTCGTGCACTCGTTAACACTGGATACAGGGACGTTTATTGTTCAGTGGATTTATTGTCTCTAGAGAAACCGATGTTCGTTTAGATCTCGGAACATTTGAAATATAGCAAACCAACGGATGAAGCTATATATCGATCGCTTAAATAAGTGTAAAAAGGAAACTACGCACTGATCTCTCGTTTGAGCAATTCGATCGTTAGTTCGCGACGTAGCGTTCCGAATACGAAAATTTAAATAAGCGTCGAAGCGACGCGTTCGGTTGTCAATCCAGAGCAGTGATTTCATAGAATAAAATGATAAGAACATAGAGGTTCAGTTCCCTAGAACATTCAGAAAAGAGATCAAACTGAGAATAAGAAGAGAATCGATGCGTTGAAGGGACCCAACTGTCCTCGAGGATCGTTATAGCCGAATTTCGCAGCGCCGTTGAACGCCTTAAACTTCAAAGATGGCGAATCCGGTGGCGGAGGCTCGAGTAAAATGGAGGCGACGAAGTTTCAACGAACTTTCCGATCCCAGACGCGTCTCCGAGACGTCCGCGGCGTTGAATGGGAAAGTTCGCGGCGCGCCGGAATCGAACAGATGGATTTCCGTTCCGGCCGCGGTTCATTAAATGACCCGTGACCGGATCGGCACCGGGCACCATCAATTAGACCACGCGAGATCGAGCATCGTTGCGTTTACCTGCGTGCCAGCCGTGATTAACGGCAATCATCGTGACAATCGAGTCGCGGCGCCGTAGAATCGGGCCAGAACTCGAACGATGATCGATCGGGGAACTTGTTTACGCGACATCGATGAAATATTAATTGAAATCGCTGTGCCGGTCGCGCGGCCGATATTCTTCCTGTCTGGGGTCCATGCGTATTGCGATCGAATTCGAGTGTGACGGCTGACGCTGCCACTTTGAAAGAAACTGATGTTTCGTATGGTGTACTGGCTGGCGAACGATGGTTCAATGACAGTGACGATGCCGAGAATTTTGTTTAATTAATAGTTTAATTGACGTTAGAGAACGATCCAGAATGAAAATTCTGAGGTTTATAAACGTTGATAGTGAATTCGAGCGGTTTAAGGGTTGAAAATACAGCTTTGAGGGTTTCTAATGTTCTTTATGGCGTATTCGATATAATATAATGGTCCAGTGATAGTTACGATAATGAGAATCTAAATGAAGAATCTCGGATAATGGTGTGGAACGAGGAACACAGATAATAATGGATAAAAGAGAATTTTGCGATTGTTTAATCCGCGATAACTTTGAATCGTTTCACCGATATTCAATAAAAGTCGTTAGCTTAAATACAGACGTCGGCCGGTAACGACAAGGATATTCGAGAATTGGGACACGCGAGAAGGTAAAATGCAAATTCGAGATCGGGAAGTCCGTTTCAGATCGGAATTGAAGTATCGCGAGAGCGTGATTACGCATTGAATATTAATGGGAACTTTTATGGATTCCGATTGATTGGAGGCGCGGCTGTGAATTAAATATTAATGAGGCACACCTCGCGAAAGAATTAATTATAACATTCACGCGAGACTCGCGCGTTATCGCGAGTGTTTCTTCTTATCAACCATTCGAGCTAAACAATTAAGCTAATAGATTCGGGAACTTCGGAACTGCTTGGACATTAGGAAATCGACGTCTAACGCTTAATTAACACTAGTTTCATCAATTTCAAACTCAAGAATCTTGTTGATCAATGAATCTTTTACAAGGGAATGTTCATCGATGCATGACACAGTGATCGAAACAAAACACTAGCACTGACGATCGAATTAAACCCCTCCGACGGATCTTCCTCTTGAAATCTAATGATCATCTGCAACGAGTGCTCGCTCCTCGATGAAATTCGTACAGAAAAAACAGCTTGGAAACATCTGACACGTGCAATTCAGCTGCCAGCAGCGTAGATCCGCCGCAATCGAGCGTCGTAACGCTGTCGCGCAGCGCTGCGCTAAATCACAGCGCGGTGCATCGCGCAAGCTCCGCATTTTCCGCGACATTATGGCGTTTGCTCTCTTTTCGTTGGCACAGGCGTTTCCTCACTTCCGGTGATTTGCGAGCCGCTTGATTTGCGATACCCCGTTGACCCAAGGACGCCCCTTTCACAGCTTTCAGCGTAGCGTATTTCTCCCGGGCAAAAGATTATCGCGATAATTCTACCGCGAAACATTAAACGTCCGACGTAGCCGCAATTATGATCGCGGACGTTGACTTTTATTCCCGCCACAATTCAGCCGAGAGCAGCCTTTGCGCGCGCCGACGATCAACGACGTTATTCCGCTTAATTTATCGTCGCCGGCGGAGGTTGCGTAAATTTCAATCATATCGGAGCGGGCATGATTCTCGGCGAGTTGAAAGACAGTTGAAACGTGGCTTCATGTTGTCTGTTATTCTATTCGATCAGGTTATCAGGTTTCCTCGGAAATCGAGATGTTAATATCAACCTTTACCTAGTATAGTCATTCCACTATCAGATCTCTCTATTTTAGACTGCAGATATTATATTTTCACAATATCAGGTCTTATCTAGAATCTTGTTATCAAGTTACCTTGAAAACTGGATAATTAGTATCAGGTTTCATCCAGAATTCATTCAGCGGTATCACACTTCCCTAAATTCAGGTCGTTAATATTAATGTTCCTCAAAGAATAAGTCATTAGCATCAGGTTCCCTTAGTTCACCAACTAAATTCGTTAGTTTCACGTTCGAAACCGGCATCGGTATTAAGTTGCAGCATCATCACTCGAAAATCAGCCCACCATGAACCTCGTCAACTCGAAACCTACCAGAATTTCAACTCTAAACGACTAAAATTCCAAACAACTCCAGATCAATCTCTTCTCTTTCTCTCAAAAATTACTCGAACTTGAACAGCCTCTGCTGAAATCTCCAACGTCGACGAGCCTAAACCGCGGTGCACGTCGACAGGGGCCGGAAGCATTTTATTAATGTCCGAAATCCGTCGGATCTCGGCGGGGATTCGCGTGCAAACCGATACACGTCCTCGCATACGGAGCACCGGTTTCCGGCGGGGACACGTCGCGCGGTCCCCTCGTGCTCCGGATTCCGGTTGCCTCCTACGATCCCGATCCGGCGAACAATAGAAAGCCAACGGCGCATCGGAACGACTCCGCGAATAACCCGGCCGCGTGGCGGCTCTTCCCTTTTATCCCCCCGGAACAATTCCGCCGCGCAGCGACCGTTTTCTGAACGAAACCGAATAACTTAACACTAGAACTACCGAGCATTTAATACGATTGATATGTGATCTCTATAAAAATTGTAACAATAGAATATTTTCAGTTTCTTTGGATATTCATCATACTACTCGAGTGAAACTATTTATTTGCAAAATCATTTCAAATATTCAATGCTTTTAAGGTATTAATAACTGCGAAAATGCTTCAGACACGAGTTGTGAGGTATAGAGCTGAATTTATGGTTATATTTTGTTTACATTATGGGATGTTACGAAGCTTTTTCGATGACAATAGATACGTTGCGATTCCAACGTTGAATAAGTATAGAAACCGAGTTTATATGCGGAAAATTTTGATTTCTCAAATGAGAATCATTTTGTGTGGCAGAGACTACTTAGTGGTACCTTGGTAACTTTCAATTTTTTATGTGAGTAGTTGAATTTGGGGATTTTGTCAATAGATTCGCTCGAATCGCCGTTATAAGAGAATTTTCAAGGTATAAGTGACGTACCCTATCAAGATTGTTCATACTAGATTCTGTCCAGTCTAGAGTGTTACTGTCAGGTTCCCTGGGAGTTCAACCTGACGGTATTAAGTTTCTCCTGAGCTTCAGACACTGGTGTCAAGTCTCCTACCAGCCTCGAATATTAGTACGAAGTTCTCTTCAAGTTTAGGGAACTGGTAGCAAATGTTTGGAGACTTGCAATAGTATCTCTTCTAAACCTAAAGCCTCCACAACAAGTTTGCCTATACTCATCTTCAGTATCAAGTCTTCTCCAGAACACATTTGATCCAGAAACACTAGTACCAACCTTCCATCATACTCCAAACACTACTATTACTTTTATTTCACTGTAAAGTAAAACCTTCAGCAGATTCTGCGAATACCAGTCGTTTAAATCGCAAAGAAAATAAATCACATACTGACCTCTTGCTACTCGAGTAACTAAATCATTCGTTTGCAAGTTGGTATCTCAAATACCAACATTTCACTCCTCCAAAATGTCGACATTCATCCACAAAGAGTCAAACGCCTGTACCAAGTTCCGCGAAAGTTTCAAAAGCCTCCAGCAACTTTTCCAGCGAAACCTCTAACATCATTCTCAACTTCCGGCGCTACAATCAAACGTTCCCTACCCCCGGCGCCGTCGTCCTCCAGTAGCTGTTACACAATTTAACCGGATTAACCGTCGCGTCGCTTGTGCAAGGCGATGTAAACAGATTTAACTCGTCACGCGACACCTTGTTCCATCGCGTCGCGTCGTATTTGCCCGGGCGTATCGCGATCGGTTAAGTTTATTTTCGCTAATTAATCTGGAGATTAATCCGCGTTTACCAGTGTGCGGCGGACAATCCAATTTAAATCGCTCCGCCGGCGGGGGTGGGGCCAGAAGGAGGCGGGCTGGGGGGCAACGGTGCACGCGGGGCAACGCTTCGTAAATTGCATACAACGGCGCCGGAATGGAAATTACGTTGACGAGATTTCTCGTCCC